TAGATCTTATTCACTAGCCTGCTGTGCTGTTCCTTGTACAGAAACATATGTGTCCTCAAAAATGTTCTGATAGCCTTGTTTTTTAATTGTTATGGCTGGTTTTATGAAAGCTGCTGGATTTGAAACAAGTTCAATATCTTTTCTTTCAAGAATTAATGTATTTTTCTGAGCTTGAAAAACAGAAAAGGCAACGTTTGTCCTCAACTGAACCCTGTAGATTCTTTTTTCACATATAGAATTTCAAATTTCAACAAGAGACCCATTATCCTGAATAATAATATTGATACAGAAGTAAGTTTGCATGGACCCCATCCTTTAATGGAAGCCCAGTCAGTGCAACACCATTGATTATATTCTGTGCATGGCCGTAGATACCAATTTTCTTTCCCTATCATTTGTCAAGCCAGAGCCTCTTTCTTCTCTTTTCAATGAGACTGAACTCTATATTGCTGTGATTCAAGATCCACCCAAAGGCATCCTTCTTCTAAGGCCCTTCACCGTAACTATGCACCACTACAGAGTGGTGCCAATAGTTTCTGGAATATCCATGGTGTGATTGCTTAGAATCATTTTTATTCTCTCCATAGATGTGGCAAAAAAGACACACTAATCATTTAAGAACATAAATCAATTTCTTCTGGCAAAGGCAGACTTATTTCTGATCAACCATCCCATAGAAAATAAATATAGAAGCCGAATGACAAGGCATGGGGGTATTCACCCTACAATCCCAGAATCCAGGCAGTTGAAGTGGGAGCTCTTGAATATACAGTAAGACCTTGTCTCAAGAAAAAAAAATGTTAGAACGCACATATTTTTTTTTACTTGATCACACTGGAGGGCTTCCAAGATATCAAGGAATTGACAAGCTGAAATTCTGGACAGGAGGGAAATGCAGATCAAGAAATAGATGAGCCAGATAGAGATCTGGTTACATCTTTGCTTCCAAGCAATTTGCCAGTTTGAAATCTATGGATGAAATGTTAAAAACCTGTGAAGATATGGTGAAAAAATAACAGTGTCAGATGTAATAGAACTTGCATAAAGAAAATAGAGCAGAGGATCCACGAAGGAAGAGTAATCAGTAAACGCCACAAAAATCTCAGCCCATCCACTCCTAACTATTTGCACCTTATCATTGGGATAAGAGTGAATGAGAGCTAGACCAGCCTTATAAAAGCTATAAAAACCCCAGTCTCAATCTCTAATCTGATTAAGATGGCTATTTATCAATGCCTTGTATTCTTGCCAAAGGAAGAAAAAATAAAAATAAACACCATCTAGAAGAAAAGAGTATCCACCAGCAGCTCTTCTACATTTTATATTGTGTTCTCCACTCAATTACTAATGATGGGCCATACAAAAAGACAACCACTGCCCAAAATCAAGAGAAAACGGACAATAAACACAGATTTAAAGGAGATTCAGGCCAGGCAGTGGTGGCGCATGCCTTTAATCCCAGCACTTGGGAGGCAGAGGCAGGCAGATCTCTGTGAGTTTGAGACCAGTCTGGTCTACAGAGTGAGTTCCAGGACAGGTTCCAAAGCTACAGAGGAACCCTGTATGGAAAACAAACCCCGAAAAATAAAAAAGAAGGCCGGGCGTTGGTGGTGCACACCTTTAATCCCAGCACTCTGGAGGCAGAGCCAGATGGATCTCTGTGGGTTCGAGCCCAGCCTCGTCTCCAGAGCGAGTGCCAGGATAGGCTCCAAAGCTACACAGAGAAACCCTGTCTTGAAAAACCAAAAAAAAAAAAAGAAAAGAAAAGAAAAAGAAAAGAAAAGAAAAGAAAAGAAAGAAAGAAAAATAAAAAAGAAGATGAGATATTAAAATTCTCAGTCATAGATTCTAAATAATTATAATTAACCTATTGATAACATAAAGGATACTTTCAGCAATGTATGATTGGTTACATGCTGTATTAGTTACTTCCCTGTTCTTGTAATAAAACGCCATGACCAAGGCAACTTATACAAGAGGTTATTTGGACTGTGGTTCAAGAGGCGTAAGAGTCTGTCATGGTAGGGAGTCATAGAAGCAAGGAGCAGATATGGTGGCTGGAGCAGACGCGGAGAGCTCACACATTGAATGGCAAGTATAAAGCAGAGGAGGCAGGGAGAGCACTCGTGCACTTGTGCCCAGAGAGAGCACGTGTGCGTGAAGCTTTAAAACCTCAAAGCCCACTCTAAGTGACATCTTTCCTCCAGCAAGTCCACACCTCCTCAAACAGCGCCATCAGCTGGGGACTATGCCTGAGGCTTTGGGGGACGTTCTCATTCAAACCATCACACATGCAGAAGGATTGCATTAAGGAACTGGGTTTCTTACTGTTAATCCATTGAGAAGGCCTCAGAGTAGCAACATATTAATAGCAATGAGAATAATTGGCACCTAAATCTTTATCTATAAATAACATTCTCCCCGAAAGGAACCAAGAATCTTTGCTGAAAACACTAATTCCTGAAACCCAGGAGGCTGGACCCGAATTCTCAAGCACGGATCCTGCCTTGGCCTCCCAAGTTGCTGAGATTACAGGCATGAGCCACCACACCCGACCTGAAAACACTAATTCCAAAGGGTTTAGACACCAAATAAAATAGGCTTGGAAATTCTTTTGTCCCTAAAAATAATTGTTCAAAGAATTATGGGAACATGTTAAAAAGACACAGGAGCAAATTTAAAAGGGTTCCCTCTAGTAAATTTGAACATCACAGTAACAGACTGAGAAATATTAAAAGAAGTAGAAAGCATGAGTCCACATTGACATGAATGAATGATGAGTCACTTACCTGCAGGGGAGATGTCATAATTATGAGGGTGATTTTCTGGGGATGAAGCTCATCTGTTGCACTCTGGGTGTGCTGTCTCCTGTGGTTCTTCAAATGTGGAAAACTTGACTGTATAATTTGTGGTAGTGGCGAGCTATGCTCACACTTTTCCCCCAAAATCAAAACAGTAAGTTTTATGAGTATATGCACGTGTGTGTGTGTGTGTGTGTGTGTGTGTGTGTGTGTGTGTGTTCATTAGCTGTAGAGATGATTGATAGACAAACACAGATAGAGTCAAAGTTACTTTGTGCCAGACATTTAATGTTGACAAAGACAAGAAAGTAACTTTACAGTAGAGAAAATCCAAAAACTGTCCCCTTAATCAAATGAACAAAGAGAAAATCACCAATAATAAAACACCGTGAGCTGGAGAGATGGCTCAGCAGTTAAGATCACTTGCTTTTCTTGAAGAGGACCTGAGTTCAGTTCCAAGCACCCACATCAGGTGTCTCACAATGAATGGCCTGACTCCAGCTCCAGGGGATCTAACACCTCTGGTCTCTAAGGGACTTATTTCAACACAAACACACACAACTACACATAATTTTAAAAAAAATAAAAATAAATGTTTTAAAAATAATAAAACAATAAATAATAACATGCCCCCTGGTAAGATGCCATGAAAGAAGAAAACATTATTTCTTTGGTGTTAATGCTCAAATTTCATAGCTAGAATATAATCATGAGGAAATGTCAGAAAAAACCCAAGTGAAGGGGCATTTCACAAAATAACTGGACTATTATCTTCAAGTGTTGAAAAGTGAAGGACACTGAGTAGACATTGAAGCAAAATGGAGCACTTGGTGCTGAATTGGATTCTCTGGCTTAAGGACACTACTGAAAAACTGGCAAAACTTGAGTGGGATGGTAGCAATACCAATGTTATAATCTAATGTGGATGTTATATTAGAGCTTTAAACAGAACATTCTTGTATTTTAGAAAATACACATAGAAATGTCCAGAAATAAGAGGGGATGGGTGGGTGGTATTCTTTGTACTGTGCTTAAAACTCTTCTGTAGGTAGATAGATACGGATCTATTTGCATTCTTCTACTTGTCGACATCCAATTATGCCAGCACTATTTGTTGAAGATGCTTTCTTTTTTTCCATTGTACAATTTTGGCTTCTTTTTTTAAAATCAGGTGTTCGTAGGTGTGTGGATTAATGTCAGGGTCTTCAATTCTATTCCATTGATCCACCTGTCTGTTTATGCCAATACCAAGCTGTTTTTATTACTATAGCTCTATAGTAGAGTTGGAAGTCAGGGATGGTGATGCCGCTCCCCCCCCCCCCCCCAATTGATCCTTTATTGCTCAGGATTGTTTTAGATATCCTGGGTTTTTAGTTTTTCCATATGAAGTTGAGTAGCCAGGCGCTGGTGGCTCACACCTTTAATCCCAGCACTCAGGAGGCAGAGGCAAGAGGATCTCTGTGAGTTCAAGGCCACCCTGGTCTACAGAGCCAGTGCCAGGATAGGCTCCAAAGCTACACAGAGAAGCCCTGTCTTGAAACAAACAAACAAACAAACATATGAAGTTGAGTACTGTTCTTTCGAGGTCTGTGAAGAATTGTGCTGGGATTTTGATGGGCATTGCATTGAATCTGTAGATTGCCTTTGGTAAGATTACTATTTTTACTATGTTGATCCTTCATATCCAAGAACATGGGAGATCTTTCCATTTTTTAAAATCTTCCGGGCTGGAGACATGGCTCAGATGTTAAGAGCACCGACTGCTCTTCCAGAGGTCCTGAGTTCAATTCTCATCAACCACATGGTGGCTCACAACCATCCCTTATGAGATCTGGTACTCTTTTCTGATGTGCAGATATACATGAAAGCAGAATGTTTTATACATAATAAATAAATAAAATCTTTTAAAAAAATCTTCCTCAATTTCTTTCTTCAAAGACTTGAAGTTCTTATCACACAAGGCTTTCATTTGTTTGGTTAGAGTTACCCCAAGATATTTTATGTTATTTGTGGCTATTGTAATGGGTGATGCTTCTCTGATTCCTTTCTCCGCCCCTTTATTTTCTGTATATAGGTATACTGATTTGTTTCAATTAGTCTTGTATCCTGCCACTTTGCTGAAGGTGTTTATCAGATGTAGGAGTTCCCTGATAGAATTTTTGGGATCACTTATATAAACTATCATATCATTAGCAAATAGTGAGAATTTGACTTCTTCCTTCCCAATTTGTATTCCCTTAATCTCCCTTTGTTGTCTTATTGCTGTAGCTAGAACTTAGAGTACTGTATTGGATACATATGGAGAAAGTGGACAGCCTTGTCTTGTTCTTAATTTTAGAGGAATCACATTGAGTTTCTTTCCATTTTAATTTGATGTTGTCTGTTGGCTTGCTGTATGTTGCCTTTATTATGTTTAGGTATGTTCCTGTTATCCCTGATCTCTCCAAGACCTTTATCATGAAGGGCTGTAGGATTTTGTCACAGGCTTTTTCAGCATCTAGTGAAATGATCATGTGGTTTTTCTTTTTCAATTTGTTTATATGGTGGACTACATTGATAGATATTCATATGTTGAACCATCTCTTCATTCCTGAGAAGAAGCCTACTTGATAATGATGGATGATTTTTCTGATGTGTTCTTAGATTCGGTTTGCCAGTAATTTGGGGGGAGGGGTTTCAAGACAGGGTTTCTCTGTGGCTTTGGTGACTGTCTTGGAACTCACTTTGTAGACCAGGCTGGCCTTGAAATCACAGAGATCTGCCTGCCTCTGCCTCCTGAGTGCTGGGATTAAAGGTGTGCACCACCAATGCCCCGGCACTGTTTGCCAGTATTTTATTGAGTATTTTTGCATCAATGTTCATGAGGGAAATTGTTCTGTAATTCTCTTTCTTAGTTGTGTCTTTGTGTAGTTTGAGAATCAGGGTAACTGTAGCCTCGTAAAAAGAGTTTGGCAACATTCCTTCTGTTTCTATTGTATGGAATAATTTGAGGAGTATTGGTATTAGTTCTTTTTTGAATATCTGGTAGAATTCATTTCAGTATATATTCAGAAACAGATTGACAGTGTTTTTTTTTTTAAAAACCAACTGGAATTTTAATAGTGATTTTATGTAATTTACGTATCACTTTGGTGTAAATTGCTATGTTTGCAAAGCTGTTTTTGAACTCATGTATCTGGAATTCTCTCCATTTCTGTAGATCTTTTTAAATTTCCTTATGTATTACTTCATTCTGTTTACATTTCTTATTTATTCATATCTATGTGCTTGGGTGTGGGCTTGACAGAGGACAACTTTCATGAATCAGTTATCTGTTACGCCATGTGTGTCACAAGGATGGAACTCAGATCATCAGCTTGGCAACAAGTGTTTTTCCCCCACTAAGCCATCTCATGGTCCTCATAGTTTTTGTGAACAGGTCTACATGATTTTTATTTGCTAAATTTATTTTAAAACATTTAATTTATTTGGGTATTATTGTGGGCAGAGTTATCTTTCCAATTTTAATTTTTACATTTTTGTTGCTATTCTATAGAAATATAACTCATTTTTATTTATCTTTTCCCACACATCTTTTTTATAATAAATTCTGGCTTTTTACATCAATAATCATCAACTAGAAATAAAGTTGGCTTGACTCCTTTCTTTCCAATTCGAGTGGTTTTTATTTCTTTTCTGCTCTGGATACACTGGCTTAGATTCCATAGTACAGGATGCTGAAGAGATGGCTCATGTTTAGGAGTACTTGCTGCTTTTGCAGAGAAGCTGTTTGGTTCCCAGCACCCACATCAGGCAGCTCACAACTGTCTATAACTCCAGATACAGGGGATCTGAAGCCTTCTTCTGGCCTCCACTGGCAATGCCTTGGTTATTCTGGAACTCATTCTCTAGACCAGGCTGGCCTCAAACTCACAGAGATCCACCTGTCTCTGCCTCTCAAGTGCTGAGATTAAAGGTATGTGCCATCACCACCCAGCAATTAATTTCTTTAAAAACAACATACAGGACAAGTAGCAAGAATGCATACTATAAATTCATTTCCAGTCTTAGCTAAGAGCACTCACTTTTTCATCACATGCCTTTAATCCGAGCACTTGGGAAACAGAGGCAGCTAAGGCTGTTACACAGAAAAACCCTGTCTCAAAGAAAGCAAAGAAGAAGCAAGAAGAAGAGGAGGAAGAAAAAGAAGAAGAGGGAGAGGAAGGAGATAGCTGATGATAGTAGATAATGTCTGGGCATGGAGGCACAGATCTTTGATCCCAGCATTTGGGAGGCAGAGACAAATGGACCTTTGTGAGTTCAAGGCTAGCTTGGTCTACACAGTGAGTTTCAGGCTACCAACCAAGGCTACACAGTGAGACCCTGTTTCATAAGAATAATAACAAAATCCGGGCAAACAAACAAAAAATACTAGGAAACCTAATAAGCAACCTTAAATTATTTCAGCATAAGTCAGGCCTAGAGCCACACATCTTTAATTACATACAGTAATCAGGATGCAGAGGCAAGTAGATTCCTGTGAGGTTAAGAAAATCTAGCCTATATAATGAATTCCAGACTAGCCAAGGCTATATAAGAGCCTGTCTCAGAGAGAGGATGGGATTGCAGGATAAAAGAAAAATATGCAAATGAAAATTTTATTTCTATTCATACTAATAGCAAACAGCTGGAAATGTAAAATTTAAAAGCAATACAATTTAAAACAGTGTAAAAATAATAAAATGCAAACAAATCTACAAGACCTGAAAGAGTAGTGCAATTAAAGACCTAAATAAATATAGGTCAATTCGTGGTTCAGGTAACTTGATAGTGTTTAATAGAAATTGTGTCTAGGCTAGATAGAGCTACACAATGAGATGCCATCTAAAAAACAAAAGAAGAAATTGCATCCAAATTGATCTAGAAATTCAATAGAATCCTGATGAAAACCCCAAAAATCTTTCTTTTAAAACCTGTATTTAAATGCAAAAGCATGACTAACAAAATAACGGAAAAGCACAGCAAAATCAAAGCTAGTACTTTCTAATAGTATTCTGTTACATGAAGGAAAGAGCCGGACATCCTAACAAAAATGGCTAATTTTAGGACGGGAACAGGAAATATACAAGCTCTTATAACATTTTGTGGTGCCAGAAAGTAAGG